CCCTTCCCTTCCCTTCCTTTCCCTTCCCTTCCCTTCCCTTCCCTTCCCTCCTCTCCTCTCCTCTCCTCCTCTCCTTTCCTCTCCTCTCTCCTTCTCCTTCTCCTTCTCCTTCTCCTTCTCCTTCTCCTTCTCCTTCTCCTTCTCCTTCTCCTTCTCCTTCTCCTCCTTCTCTCTCCTTCTCTCTCCTTCTCTCTCCTCCTTCTCCTTCACCTCTCTCTCTTTCTCTTTCTCTATTCTTCTCTCCTCCTCCCCTTCCTCCTCCACCTTCTCCTCCTTCTCCCCCGAGCCAACCACACTCACATGCAGAGCCATGTCCTGCCCAGCCCTCTCCAGGGTTCCTTCCCTCAAAATGAGCAAACCTTCCCCTTGCAGACCCAAACCAGCTCAAATATTGACCTGCCAGCTGGATTTGGGGGCCCAGGGGATCGGTGTGACCAGGCTGTGGCCACTGCCACCCCCAGCCCCTGATGCTGGGGCCTTGGCCACGGCTCTTGCCCTCACAGAGGCTCGGAAGAAGGCGGATGGCAGCAAAAGTGAAGTGTCACAAGAAGACACAGCATCAGAGGCAGAGGCCAACACGGAGGAGCCGCTCAACGGGGACGAGGGGGAGGAGGAAGGGCTGGCGCGGGACGAGTGCGAAGATGAACTGGTGAGAGACTTGGGGCAGTGAATCCCTCCAGCCAGAGGGGTTCAGTAAGGGGCAGCCGTTTTACTGGCATGTAATAAATCCCCAGAAAAAGTAGATTTTCCTTCCTCAAATCCCATGATTGTTCACAGCTTGTTCTTTCAAACTGCTGTGCTGCTGGCGTTGGCCTTGGCCAGGCTGGAGAACCGTGACTGGCTCTGGAAATTCCAACCACATTTACCCTTGATTTCACTGCTTAATTAATGGTTAAAAGAAGTTGCTCTGCTCCCAAGTGAAAAAAGAAATGAAAAAGTAATTCTCAGGTGGATTGAAAGCTTTGGCACAGATAGTGTTGCATGAGCTGCTCTTCCCCACCAACGTGGTTGCAGATCCCTTGTGGACACCAAATGGCACAAACGTGGTTGTACCAGGTTGTGCACATCATCCCCCTTGGAGTGAGTCCTGCCCCAAGGTAGGACATTCCCAGGGGACACAGGGAGCAAATCCTGTGCCTGAAAAGCATCTGGATGGGAGCCTTGGTCTTGGGTGCACTGTTGGCAAAGGTGCTGCAGGGCACCACAGTGGCACTGGTAGCACTGTCATTTCATGGCATCACAGAATGGTTTGGCTTGGAAGGGACCTTAAAGATCATCTAGATCCAACCCCCTGCACGGGCAGGGACACCTCCCACCAGCCCAGGCTGCTCCAAGCCCCATCCAACCTGCCCTTCAACACTGCCAGGGATGGGGCAGCCACAGCTTCCCTGGGCAACCTGGGCCAGGCTCTCACCACCCTCACAGGGAAGAATTTCCTCCTCATGTCTCACCCAAATCTCCCCTCTTCCAGTTTTAATGCATCACCCTTTGTCCTCTTGATAAAAGTCCTTGTAAAAAGTCCCTCCCCCCCTTTCCTGTAGACCCTCCAGGCACTGGAGGGGCTCTATGAGGTTTCTCTGGAGCCTTGTTTTCTCCAGGCTGAATTTGTCCCAGATTAAGACTCCTCTGGGAACAGGACCAGGTCCAGACCCATGCAAAGGGTGAGAGGGTGCTGGGGTTTAAGGGCAGCCCTGGTTGCTGCCTCTCCTGCAGGACCCCAGCCCCTGGAAGCTGGGAGGGCTGACACATCTGTCCTGCAGAGGCCTGGGGCACGTTGGGCACCCTCTGAGCCTGCACCCAGTGTCCCCTGCCCCAGTTCTGCTGCTTCCCACCCCAGCACTGGGGGGCAGCACAAGTGGGGCTGAAGCTCAGCATCAGAGCCTCCTTCTCTGGAGACATTGAAAACCCACCTGGACACAATCCTGTGCAGCCTGCTCTGGGTGAAGCTGCTTTAGCAGGTGGGTTGTACTAGATGATCTCCAGAGGTCCCTTCCAACCCTACCCTTCTGTGATCCCCTTCTTCTTCCTCTTCCCCCATTGCCAGGGTGACCACCCTGCCGTGCACGTGCACAGCACCCTTCCTATGGCCAAAAACCTCCTCTAACTCAAAACACTGCCCAGCTTGTGTGTACTCTGCTACTCTGCCCCACCTTAACCATGATGGATGAGGGGGCTGGACAAGGTCTTCCAGCTGGTTTGGTTTCTGGGGCCTCACAGCTAAAGTCCTTGACTCCTGCTAAATCTAAGAGGAGATTATTTAGGGGAGACATCATAACAGATGCTATAAAAAAAAAGGCAAAAGCTGCCTCCATCTCTGGGTCACTTAGGATGAGGGGGGCCAGGTCTGAATTACATCAAGGGAAACATGGTAGAAATCAGGAGGAGACCTGCTGCTGCTAATGATGATAAAGCAGCACACAGGCTGTCAACAACAAAAAATAATTGGGCTTTTCTGCCATTAGGGGGCTAAGAAAACACAGTGGACAGACATCTGCTGGCAGTGACTGAAGAAGAGCTGGTCTTCACTGAGGGTAGATGAACAAGATGACTGTTTCAGCTCCCCTCACTCTGTATTTTCTGTAACTCTCTGGTCCTAAAGTGGCACTGAAATATTTTACAGCCAACATCAGGCTCATCTGTGGTCAGCATGGGCAGGGTAATGTGTGCAGTTTGTCTGCAGGGACCTTCTCTTAAACACTGCAAGAAGCCTCCCAGAAGCCATCCTTTGTATTTTGCTCCTGACCATACAACACTGAACAGTTTTGAAGACTTTCCAGTTCCTGGGGAGTGAGTCTTTTATCTCACACTTCTTTAGTTTGCAAACATTGGTGAAGCTTTCACCACCTGCTGCCCACATGGTGACCACACCAAGTTATCTGCCCTGGGCCCTGAGGGGCAGTGGTGTGACAGGAGAAGAGTCAGAGGTCACTCAGATCTGACCTCGTAGTTTATTGAGGCATAAATTTAGGTCTGTAAAATATTTATTAAGTACAGCAGGCCTGGCAGTCAGAGCTGCCTGCTGCCCCTGCACTTCATGCGGGATACAGGGGTTATTGTGTAGCCTCACTGTATGTATCTTAAATGTCACATGCATGCAAAAAATGTCACTGACCGACCCATGGATTCCTGGTGTCAGGGAAGGGATCTCAAAGCCTGGAGAGGTGACCTTGAGAGATGTCCCTGCTCCAGGGGAGCTCCCCACAGCCAGCAGTGATGGAGGGATGGGCCCACGGGCCCTGGTGGCTGCAGATCTTTGTGGTATGAAGTGGTTGATTTGTGGGTGGGATTTTCTGCTCTGTTCACCCAGTTCTGGCGTCACGTCAGCCCAGTCTCCAGCCACACTTTTTGTCTTGTTTCAGTGGGGGGTTCTCACTGATGGCCTTGCATAGTGGGATGAACTTGGTTTAGGTTCACTCGCTGAGCACCTGCCTGGACCAGGTGGCCTTGCATAGTGGGATGAATTTCAGGTTCACTCGCTGAGCACCTGCCTGGACCAGAGGCTGGTGAGTTCAAACAGGAGGAAGTCACAAGTGGGAAAGATGTAGTTTATGGCTTGGCATTTGTTGGCACCAGCCCTGCCAACACTTGGGCAATTCCCAGCACAGAGGCTGCCCTCCCACCAGGTGGAGGTGGGAAGAGGGTGATCCAAGTCCCCCAGAGTACAAGGAGGCTCAGGAGGCTTCCTCCATCCATCCGTGATGGCACCCATGTTGGTCTGTCCCCTGATCCTCACCCAGGGGCTCTCAGCTGACTCATCCCCTGTTCCAAGGCAAAGCCCTGTGCATCTGGGCTATTCCTTTGCCACCTCACCTGGCTTTCCTGAAGAGCCTGTTCCCAGGGTGCTACCTGCTCTGGAATTCCTGGGAAGGAACCTTTGTTCTGTTGCCAGAAGTCAGAAGCCTCCAGACTTCCCTCTCTTGGCAGTCTCCATTCACAGCTCCTTGAGGTGTGGTCCCTTCATGCATTCCAGCTCCTGAGGCTTTTCCCTGCAGGGTCTCTGCAAAGACCCTCTTGGTCTCCCCCACTGCAAAAATGGATTGATCTTCTCCCGTGCCCTGTAACCCAGCCTGCTGCTAACGAGGTTGGGACTGGGCTCCCTTGCCTTTCCTTTCCCATCTTTCCAGGTATCTCCTGGATCCATTTCCACCTCTGAAGCCTGGGCAGGAGGGGGAATGTTGCTGCTGCTGAGCCCCTGGGCTCCTCATGCCCCTGCGCTGCTGCACAGCTTCGGGAGGGGACGTTCACATGCTGTGCTTTCCAAACCAGTGTTGTAGAAGGAGAGGGCCCTTTTGTCCTTTCAATTCCTCTGGCCTTTGGAGGGATGAATAGGATGAGTGGTGTCATCCTGGGTGATGAGTTCTGAGACTGGGACCCATGGCTTGTTCAGCAGTCGCTGCTTTGGGCGCGGTTCACCAGTGCTGGCGGGTCTGTCAGGTGGGAATGCCTGTTCCTGTTGTAGGACCCTCCTGGGGCCCAAATTAACTTCTCCCCATGCTACAGCAAGGCCTGAGCTCTGCAAGCACGTGCAGGGGACTTGATGGAAGTGCTGAGCATGAGCTTAACCTGGCCATGCAGAAATAAAGCCTCCAGCCCAAGCACAACGACTCGTGCCACAGGCTCAAGCCTTCCCTGGGACATGCCCACTGGAGATGCTGACTCTGGCACAGCCCAGAGCAGACTCCTGACTTGTACACGAGGGAAGGTGGCCTTCATTTCATCCCAGTGCCTTTGAGGTTGAGCAGAAGCCAGAATTCAAAAAGTCCAAGAGGGAATCATGCAGCCCAGGTCTGTTTGGCAGAGCCCTTCCAGAATAAGGAACCAGAGGCAAATTATGGTCTTGCCTGGGGCTGTGGGTCCCAGAAACCACAGCCAGGGCACCCAGTGCCCACATCACGTGTTTTGTGGCTCCTTCACCACACTGAGCAGCCTGACACTGCTCTCTCACACCATGGTACCAGCTGGTCACCACCTGTGGGGTGTCACGGGGTCCCAGTCGGGCAGGAGGGACACGTGGTGATTGACTCTTTCTGGTTCCCTTTTCCCTGCAGGAGAACAGCCATTACACAGATGTGGAGGATGCCAGACTACAGTAACCAGGTACAGCTCACTCTCCTTTTCAGGGGCTGATGTGGAGCAGAAGCTTTCATCCCAGCAGTGTTGGGATGATGGGGGTTGCTGCTTCAGGAGATGCTCTTTCCCCGTGTTTTCCCCGCACTGAGCCTGGCTGCTCAGCTGGGTCACTGACCAGCCCCTCACTGTCTTTCCTGAGTCACAAATAGTTGAGGTTCAAGGAAAATGAGGAACCTTTTCCCCTTGCTTCTCTCCTTGCAGCCCCTTCAGACCAGCAGTGAGCACCAGTGTGAGGAAAGCACGAGGCTAAACCCTGTCCTGGCACGTTGAGCAAGACAAGCCGAACCCAAGTGCTGCTGTCACCTCTACCTGGCATTCGAAGGAGCAACATGGCCCAACATCTTCCATCCATCTGTAAAGCAAAGACAAAGATAAACTCATCATCCCAGTGAACCCCCTCTACCCCGTGGAATGGATTCAGAGCTCTGCAGCCAGCAGAGGTGGGAACTGATCCCTGCCCAACCCACAACCAGCGCTGAGCGGCTGACGGGAGCGTGGCTGCGTCACCCAACAAGTCAGAGATGTTCTAGAGCTTTTCTGCAGGAGAGAAGGGGGAACTCAGCCTGGCCCAAAACAGACCTTTTTTTCCCCGTGCTTGGTGAGAGCCAGAGTATTTGCTAACTGGGGGAGAAGTACTGTCTCAGTTTGGACAACTGTTCTCACATTGTTGAAGAAGAAGGTCTGGGGTGAGCTGTGGTCACTTCCTCTCCTCTTTTGCCCCATGAGCCACAGTGGGTACACGGTCACCTGGTGGGAAGGAGTGGGTGCTGGTGCATCTGTCCTGCTCCTCACAGCTGCCTGGAGAGAGGGGCAGGGGAAAGGACACTGCCTGCAAGAAAGCAAGGGATCCCAAGCAGGAGAACCAAAGCATACATCACCATCAGGAGTTTGGTCTCCTCGTCTCCACTGAGTCTCCACTGTAAAGGCTGAGCACGTCTCTGCAGGGTGAGGGGTGCAAGCATGTGGAGGAGACCCTTTTCTTGGACTAGCTGCTCCCTGGGAGGGATGTAACCACCTGCCCAGTGCCAGAGGCATCAGCCCCTTCCCCAGGGTGCTCATGTCTCCTCGGGGCCCAGCTTGGCTCTCCACCTTGAGCTGGCAGGGCAAGAGAGCAGCCCTGGCAGCAACTCCTGGCTCAGCAGCTCCTGGCTCAGCAGCCCCTGCTCCTGGCTCAGCACCAGGCTGCCCAGCACCCCGAGCCTGAGCAGAACAAGACTGGTGAAACCCCAGCACGATGCATGTGGCCGTGCCAGCAGCTCCCCTGCCTGCCCCAGTCCCAGCTGCTTCTCACCCACGCCCTGGCCTGAGGGCAAAGGTCTCTCAGCCTTTTCTCTCCTTGTCGTTCCTCTTTCATGGAGGAACATCATCCAGATGTTCTGTGCTCAGGGGCAGGTGGGACTGAAGCTCACACAGCACTTTATCCAGATCAGATATGTCCTGCCTGTCACCCCTCTTACCCTCCAAAACACCCACCCACATCAGGGCTTTGGATCCAGAAGGGTGTCCACACCTTCTCCTTGGTCAAACCCTCCCACCAACCATGTGGCCCCCAGGAGTGCTCTGGAAAGGGACTCCTGCTTCCTGCTCCAGGCTCAAAGCCAGACCTCATCCACAGCATCTCTCTTGGAAGGGTGAAGGGGACAAACAGGTCCTGGGGACAAGGCTTCCTCCCCTGAGGACCATCCTGGAGCAAGCAGGGCTCTGGAAGCACAACCATTTATTTGCATTTCTTCGTTTCCAGTGGTTCAGGAGGGATTCAAGGGTTAACTGTGCTCTCCCCTCCCTTCTTCTGGTTCCTGTACAATTGCTCCATTGTGTTGTACTGAGCCCTTGTAGAGCTGTTTTCTAGGCTTTGAGAGATGAGCTGCAGTTTTTGCTATGAACTGACTGTGATGCTGATGTTTGGGAGGAAGGTGACCTTGTACATACAATCCTGTATAATAAAAGAAAGAAATCTAATTTGCTTTCACTCTTTGCTCTGGCTCGTGCACACACACACATTTTTTTCCTCCCTTTCAGACAAGGCTTCCCCTTTCTGAGCTTCAGCTCTGCCTGCAGGATTTGCTTTCCCTTACAGAGAGTATATCCCACTGGGCTGGGCAAAGCATCTGGGCTCTCAGGGGCTCTGGGACTTTTCCCTCTGGAGATCTGGAAACAAATTTGATGTAGGAGAACATCAGGAGGACAAATCCAGGCCTTTAATCTCTGGACTTTGCACTGGTCCAGCTCATAACAGACTGGAAAATTGAGGCTGCTGTTGCAGTTTGCACAAGCCAATGGCACTAGTGAAAGCTGCCTAAGTACAATGTCTCCTGGCCACCTCCCCAGCCCCTTCCTGTTGCCAGCTGGAGTGATCATCCAGGCCCTGGCATGTTTGGCTCCTGAGCTGTCTCTGGAGGGCACCAGTGACCACACGGGGAGCACCAGTTGCCACCTACTTCCCAGGGTTTTTTCAGTTACCAGTTGTAGAAGGCTGTCCTGCTGAGCCTGGTGTGAGTTGTCACCCAGCACAGGAGGGCAGAGCTGCCTGGTGCACCCATTCAATTTCATGGTGAGTCTGGGGATGGTTGAACATCCATCTCTCCATCCCTCCATCCATCCCTCCATCCATCCCTCCATCCATCCCTCCATCCCTCCCTCCATCCCTCCCTCCCTCCATCCATCCCTCCATCCCTCCCTCCCTCCATCCATCCCTCCATCCATCCCTCCATCCCTCCCTCCATCCCTCCATCCATCCCTCCATCCCTCCATCCATCCTGCTATCAGTCACCAGTTCCCTTCAAGACAAGACAACTCACGGTGCCTTTGTGGCTGGGCAGGAGGAGGAAAGACAGGGTGGAAGGGGGAAGAAAAAAGTAAAGTCACAACATTTGACCATCAAGAAGATCAAAACTGGCCCAACCTTTGGTTCATTGAGCTGTGTTGTTGGGCCCTGACAGTGACGATGGCTCAGAGCCTGAGAGAAGGGCAGAGCTTCCCAGCTCCACCCCTGCCCTGAGCCCTGGCTGGCTGGGCACAGTGTCCTGCAGCTCATCACCTCCAGGCCAGCAGGGCCTGGCCCAGGTCTGCTGGGAAGCAACAGGTTCCTTTGTGTTAATTATTCTGGGGGAGAGGGAGGGACTTTGGGAGCTCTCCCAGAGGCCCCTCATGGAAATGAACTCTTGGCTGCAGGTGGGGCCTCAAGGAAATGAGGTCTGGGCTTTTCATGCTCATGAAGTTCTGTAGGTGACCGGCCAGAACATCTTGGCACGAGGAGGTGAGGGAACCACAGTGGGTGGGAAGGGAACACACCCCCCCCTTTCATCCCTTCAGGCCATAAAGCAGCTGCAGAGCTCCCTGCTGACTTCCCTGGGTCCATCAGGAGAGGAGGGTTGGGTCTGTCCGTCCTCCCCCCAGGCAAGAGTCAGTTCAACATCTGCACCTTCTGAAGAAAGAACAACCAACGTGAACCCAGCAACTCCAATGACCACCCAGGCAGTTTCCATCTTGTGAACTGGAAAAAAAAACAAACACAAAAAGAAGGGTTTTGGTGAAGCTTCTCTCCACCACCCACAAAGGCAAGATCCCATCACCAAGCACCCTGGGCCTCCCTTGGCTTCTCACATTTGCTGCTCTGCTGGTTGCCAACCCACCTGGGTGGGGTGGTGACAGCCCCCTGGTCTTCCTTGGGAACAAGAGGGGAGGTTCTGTTCCCCACTGCCTCACCTGGGCCTCTGCAAAGGGAACACCAGGTGTATGAGGCTGCCAACACACTTTGGGCTGAAATGTGGTGGGAAGAGCAAACCTGCAGGAAGCTCTGGGGCTCTGCAGGCATCTGAGCAGCAGAGCAGGGCTTCTCCAGTCCCAGGTAGTCCTTTTATGTGCTTCTGGACATGGAAAGACCATCTGCCAGGCCAAACCAGCCATAATCCTGCATTCAGTTGGAGTCAGAAGAAGCAACAAGAGCCTCCACTGACTTTAATGAAGCCAATTAACTTTAATGAGCATGACAGGGAATGTCCATGCAGTGCTTTGGCAGAACTTCAGTTACTGCAACTGCCACAGGAGCCATTTTTTGGTGAGTTTGTACAAGCCACTTGCTGCCTCTGTGAGAGCTGCCATACCCCTCCTGCATTGTCTTCCCATCATCTGCAGGAGATTTTTCCTCTTTTGATGAAAGTTACGGAAACATCTGGAGATGTGGCCAAGAACCCCAAGGGCTCCTGGTGGAGCACGGGCAGACTCCACCAGGAAAACAACCCCAAGCTCTGAATGGGGACAGTCTGATGCCAAAAGGAAGTTTCCATATCTGAAATGCTCTGCAGGAGGTGGCAGAGGGGCCTGAGCAGCCATTCCTGCCCTGAGCCCAGTGCCACCAGCACCTCCCCTTCCCACCATGGTTGTGTGTGGCTGGGATGGGCCAGCATTGATGTGCTGCTCCAGGTTAGGGAGAAAACCCTCCAGTTCATCACCTTTTCATGGCCCAGATTTACTTCCTAGCATGTGGACTTTTTTTCTCTGCCAGCTCTGAGAGGGTTCCTCAAACACAACCTCCTATGGATCCCAGGGCTCACCTGCTCCCTGGGCTCACAGCAAACGAGTTGCACAGGAGACCCAGAGCAAGTGTGACTGGGACAGACAAGGGGTGAGAGAGGGAAAAGGGAAGGGCAGAGGTGAGAGAAGCAGGCAGAAGCAGGAACACAAGCTCCTAGCCCTGCCTCAGAGCTGCCTGCAGCACCTGAACCTTCTTGCTGACCCTTCCACCCCTGTTTGCAAGCAGATGTTGCTGAAGGTGAAGCACAGACCAAAGCTGCATCTTCCCAGGTTTGCTCACCAGCCACTTCCCCACCCCTCCTGCCCCACAGGTGAGCAGCAGCTGCTGCTTCTCAGCACCACAGCTGGGCTCACCACACTGCAGAGCCCAAGAAGCTGGGTTGGCTGCCAGCAGCTGAGCAGGGACACTTTCAGCAGCTCTGGAGCACAGACCATCACACTCTGGGCACAGCAGGAGGAGCTCCTTGAGGCCCAGGTGGGAGTTCCCTGCATTAGGACCATGTCTGAAAGCTGGGAAGCTTCAGGAACTTTCATCTATACTTCTCCTTGGTTAAAACCACTTTGGGTGTGACAGGACAGGCTGAGAGAGCTGTGGTTGTTCAGCCTGGAGAAGAGAAGGCTCTGGGATCACCTAGTGTGACCCATCAGACAAGTATCCACATGACATTTTCCAGTTCTCCTGGCTTGGACACATGGGACATCCTGGGAAGCAGCAGCACAGCAACTGGAAAGGTACCCAGGGGTTATGTTGAAGCAAAACCATAATTCCTATCAGTTCTGTTTGCAGTCATTCCCTCTCAGTTTACTACAAAACAGCCTGGCTTTGAGGCAGGCACAGCTCTTCACAGAATCATGGAATGGTTTGGGAGGGAAGGGACCTTAAAGAT